TATTTGAGAAAATGTGTAAATTTCGAAATTTGAAGAAAACTCAAAAACGGATAAAGGAAAAAACATTAAATTTTAAACTTAAGGTTTATTTCGGCCTGACGTGAAATGATTAGATTTTGGACAAAGTTGGAACATCTGGGGGGGTACTTTATGGGAGGCCGTTTTTATATTTTATGGAATATATCTGTTATTTATGTTTGGAGAAGAAAATTGTTTAAATAAAAGTTACTTCTTATATTATTATCTATAATTTTTGCTATATGTAAAAATTTCCTGAAATGGTCCGTATTCGAAAAATTTGACAAAATGTGCAAAATTCTGATTTTTATGAAAATTGTTGAAATAAAAGTTGTTTGCGATATCGATCTCTATAATATTTGTTCATACATGATTTTTTTAAAATGGACCGTAATGGAAAAATTGTAGGAAAAGTGCTAAATTTAAATTTTTCAGTATTTTCATTTTCAATGAATATCTATAGAAAAATGTTTCGCGGTAGATGTATGTGGACAATGTATATATTTAGTTTATCCTCTAAACATTTATAGAGATACTGCAATAGGTTGTACAAAATAACCGGAAAAAGCCTGTAATAACTAGATAGGAAAGTCATGTGTTGGACACATCAGATTTTTATTATTAGCTAACCGTTTATTAATTCTATCCGCTTTTATCTTCGTTGTTAATTGAGATATTGGAATGAAAACTTATTTGTTTAAAAGCTTGGAACAAATACTCTCATATACTGGATTCAATTGGTGTGTGACTTCATGGCTTACTTCTGTTTTATCGGAAATAACAAAATTTCAATTTATTTTTAATTTTTAAATAGAAACCCCCGTTTTTATTGAACATTTGAATTTTAGGGACATTTATGGATAAGAATTATGTGTTGAAAATTTTTTGTCAGTAGTCAAAATGATCATCATATTGGAACATATTTTTTTTAATATGTTACTGAGAAAATTTTCAATACACGCTTCTTATACAAAAATGTCCCAGAAATTCAAATTTTCAATAAGAAAAAGGGTTTTCATTTAAAAATAAAAAATAAATTGCGATTTTCTGTTATTTCTGGAAAAACCGGAAGTAAGTCATGACGTCACAGAATAATTAAATCCATCATAAGAATATTCTCTTCTATGTTTCATTTTCTTTGTTTTCCAATAAATAAACATACTAAATTTTTTCAAAATTTTGCCCCCCGCCTATAGAATTGTGTAACGACGCCCATGCATTTGGATATCCATATTAAATCCACGAAATATTTCTGATATCCTGTGGATATATTGGATATCTCTGGGATTTGGTGTGTTGTCTGGGCAATATTTTGGACACAAACCATTATAATGGTTAAAAATAATTGTTACGGGGTGTTTCACTAATAAATCACAATAATAATATATTTGTGCAAACATTGAATAACTACAGTTGCACTACAGAGAAATTATTACATTCATTTATTTTTATAGAGGGTGAGCCATCCAGCAAACCACCAAAAAATAATTATGTTTTGAAATTATTAAAAAGGCGACCTTTTATTTCTTTAATGACCTTTGAGTAAGTTAATATATATCATTACATTAGACATAAGATTTTAAAATATACAGATTAATCTGTTTCTATTAGAACACCCTGTATAGGAAATGTATTGAATAATATTTTGTTGCCAAAATACCATATTCTTCCCTGACGTTACAGTAAAATTAGTGAAATTTTGGAAAAACTACCGTCATACATTTGTGCATCACCCTGTAACTAAAAGTATTTTTAATTATACTTATATGTACTAATGTATTACTAAAACATGTAGTAAACGTGTGTTTATACAACAGAAATTCAATCTAGCTCGTAAGTTTGAAAATGAAAAATTTCGAAAAACTAGGCAATTTTCAACATTCATTTCGAAAACTAGTCATAGGATTAAGTTGAGCCTATTATTTACACTTTTGGTTACTAGGTTGAGTACAATAACATGCCATATAAAGTCTCAGAAAATTTGACCGGTTGCCACTTTACGTAAGGAAATACGTGAAATGTGTAAGTTTTAAACCTACATATAGTCCAGTAACTGCGAAGACCTGAAAATATGCAAAGCTGTCATTAAGTCGGTCCAGATTTCCTTTGTGACTCAGTTCTTAGGTCTTGACGGTTGCTTTCAAGGGCGAAAACTTTTACTAACACTGTTGGGTCGGAAAGGGCTCAAAATGGCCCCTAAAGTCCGAAAAAATGGTTTCCCGCTAATATCTGCCAAAATATACAAATTAGACAATTTTTATTTAGATAAAAAATGAAGATCGTATCATTATCTACAAAAATGGTCCCTACCATTTTTTTCTTAAGACGAATATTTTTTGCAACATCGGCCTTCGAAAAAGCCCTAATTTTTGCACTGAATAGAAATGTTAGTTTCTCACTGAATTTCCGCTCGAGGGAGTTGGGAATACATTGATTTTCATGTTTTGGACTTTGGAGACCAATTGTAGATGGCGCCAGCGGCGTACCTCTGTTCACTAAATTATGGGGCCTATGAATGGAAATCCGGGCACCAATCGATCTTTCGACAATTATTGGCGGATTCTACGGGATTTTTTCTGTAAAGTAGCGCTTGGGGTATCTCATCTATATTGCCGAATGTTCTGTGTAATTTGCGTTGCAAAATTTAATAGAAAAGTGCCAAAAAAAATTTTTTTATGTGGCAGTCTCAAATCCCGGCGCTTTGCCTAATAGTGAGTTACTTGTTTTAGAGTGTGATGAATATTGACCCGAGAAGACCCTTTATATTTTCTGCGTCTTTTGCAAAATTTTCGCCAACTTCTATCGGAACAATATAGGTCCAGGATTTCAGAAAAATAAGAAAGTTTCTGAATTTTTTTTTATTATGAAAAACATGTTGAAAATACGTGGTTTCGTGCATCTTTATAGAGGATTGCTTCTTTACGAATAGGTGAAAATTATCGTCCCTTTCCTTGCTCACATCAATTAATTTTTCTTAGCCTCGAGTGACATTTGCAACGTCATCCATAACTTCCTGGGCACAAAGGAAACATTTTGGAACGGAGTCCGCTTCCAATGCTGCAACAAGAGCTTTACAAAAATATATTATTGAAATGTAGTAAGAATTACAACAAATTTATAGACTTTATTTTAAACCAACCAAACCTTTTCTGTTCCCCACAAACGAAAAACAAATTCCTGAAAATTCAAGAATGACGTCGAATTTTTCACTTTAAAACTTTTTTTTAACAACTTAATTGATATTGATAAAATACTATCAATTTTTTTCTAAAATACTATCAATAATACCGACAATAACGACTCCAAAAACAACAGAGATTGTATACCAACAAAAGCAGACGATTAAGGTGAGCGCGTAGCGCGTGGGTACACGTGGTTAGGTTATGATGGAATATCATGGATCTCAGGCTGAGAGCGTAAAAATGGGGGAGATAATTCTAACAAACAGTTAAGAACCACGCTCACATACGGGAATCAATCGATAGAAATGGAAATGTGAGAATATCAGCTTCACTTCGGTCTGGGTATTAATGTTCAAAAAATGAACAGCGGGGAACAAGAAGTATTTAAAAAAAAGTCCGGTTTTCCCCGGTGTGATCAATTTTCCCGATTTCTGTAAAATGGAGCAACTTTATTAAAAAAAAAAAAATACATTCGAAAAGTAGACACTCTAAGCTTTAAAATGGTGTGCATTGAATAACAATATAATGAAATATGAGTTTTTAATTACTGCTTGTTTCAAAGATTTCTAGAACTCCGAAAACGTATGAAAAATGCAAATAAACAAATCAATTTTGTTTTAAAACGCCAGGAAGATACTGGAAAAACTTTTTTGAAATCATTTGAGACATCTCAAGATCCCATTTAAAACATAAATGGGATAAAAAACTATTAAAAGAAAAAAAATATGAATGAATTACTATAAAGTGGTCCAAAATAGTGGGAAAACGCAACTTTGACCCCTTTTTCAATGTTCTTGATAAGAAATAACGGGCTTCAAGGCACATGGATCGATACCTATGGGTTTTCCCATTGTAATGAACTTTGAATCATCGAAAAATATTAATTTTTGACCGAGTTCTGAAACAATTTGTCCACCCATTTACAAGCTAATCAGCATTGCTATAGAGATAAAACAGGGGCTGAACGAGGGGACTTTTGATTGCGGTTATCTCGAAACCTGTCGAATTCCCGACAAAAATGATGAAATGATGGGGACCATTTTTGTAGATAATGATAAGATCTTTCTTTTTTATCTAAACAAAAATTCTCTAATTTGCATATTGTGGAAGATATTGGCGGGAAACCAGTTTTAGGGTCCATTTTGGGCCCTTTCCGACGCAGCAGAGTTGGTAAAAGTTTTCGACCTTGAAAGCGACCGCCGAGACCTAAGAGTTGAGCCACAACGGAAATCTGGACCGACTTAATGACAGGTTGGTCCCTTCAGTTACTGGACTAATATGAAATGATAAATCTTTTAAAATATATAGGCAAAAACAATTGGAAGATTAAAATCAGAAAGGATTATACATGATTACAAAAAAATAAATTATTTTTAAAACTTTATCTGAACAAGAATAGGTTATTTTTTATGTTGTTTTATGTTTATTCAATAAAATTATTATCTAATTACCCTAACCCCATAAACTCTTAAATTAACCAGCCTCCGATAACGTTACACTAGTAAGGTCAGTTTCGTACGATAAAATTATGAGAAAAAAAGAAAAATAATTTCTCATAGATAAATTAATAATTTATTAATCTATGGTACATTTGATTTTGGTCGTCTGGCAACACTGGTGATGAAGCAGGAGCGTAGGAGAGAGTAGGACCGCTGTCATGAGTTCGAGAATAGAGGGTACCGTGGCGTTAAAACGGAACGCACACCCCGTTTCGTTGCTAAGACATCTGTCACTACTGTCAAAAGTTATTTTCTAATTTCTTATCTTATTTTTGTAAAATTTAACCGATAGGCCACAAAAATGGGGATTAAAATTTATATCAGTGGTAGTTCTGGTAATAAAGAGGTAAAACAATAATATTATTATCATTAAAAATTAGAATATTCTAATTTGATTTATTTTACAGGTCAAAAAAAGACAACAAAGAGTACTCTTAATTTTGGATTCAAAGAATGTTAAATATGAGGTAATAGACATAGCAGAACCTGGAGCAGAGGAGGCCAAAGATTTCATGCAAAATAATTCTACAGGTTTAGGTGCTACTATTGGTGACCCTAGTCCTAGACATGCATTACCACCTCAAATTTTTAATGATGATTTGTACTGTGGTGTGAGTATTAAAAGATACCTAATTGTAATGACCATATAGGAGCCTTCACTGTTAAGTACTACTGTTAAATAACAGTTCTGCTTCTTAAGGTGTCTATAAATATGGTGAGCCACACCTTAGCTGAGCCTATTTCATGCCCGAGGTTGTGCTTTTTGACCAACGAGCCTCGTATATTTTCGTCTGATTCCCATGGCAAGTTTAGGTTGCCACGAAGTTCACACAAACTTTTTTGGTTAGATTTAGTATGTGGTAAGCGAAACAAATAGATCATATCTGATGATGAAGAACAAACAGCTGCTTCATGGTTGTAGTTTACAGACAGTAAATTTAGTCAAATTTAATTTGTTTTTTGAATGAAATAATACTAATTAATTTTAATTTTATCACACTCTAGGTGTGGAAATAAAAAAATTCCAATCAATTATTTTAATTAAATCCTTAAAATTAATTAAAGCTTTATTAAATCTAACTTCAAACTTGATAACTTTTCATAATACTGAGCAGCACCAATGTTATTTTATTAACTGAAATTATTTTTTACTGACTTCAAAAAAGAAGGTGGTCCTCAATTCATGGGAATATTTTTTTTATGTTCAGCGATTCTTCTTTACCATGTCTGATTTCTATGATTCTTTTTTTTTTACTAGAAAGGGGTACCTCACCTCAGGATAGCCACATATAAATTTGGTCAAAATCTGATAATTGAATCCTTAAGAAAATCATCAAACTTCATTTTTATGTATATTCAGCGATAATTCTTTATCACTTTGTGCGATTTGTAAGTCTTTTTTGTTAGAAAGTGGGGGTACCTCAAGGGTGATCCCGTATACTTTTAATAAAGATCTGATAATGGGATCTATTAGAAAATTAGTTAACTGAATTTGTAAAATCTGTCTTTTAAAATTACTTTTATAATAATAATAATAATATTTATTTGGCTTTGAGACATACATATTTACAATATTTTAAAAAGGTTAAAAAATGTATAAACATATAAAACCTATTAGCCTTGTCAACACATACAATTTTAAAAAGTAAAGACATGCTACAATTGAGTTTAAAATAAAGTACAAATTAAAAATAGTATACAATAGGGCAAAAACATTAGACAATAATTATAATAAAGAGATACCATTACAGATCACAGAGTATCATTCATAAATTCTGCATAGGAATAATATGTTTTGGATGAAAGATATGTATAAAGATTATTTTTAAAAACATTACAGATTTTTTCATTACCATTGACTTGAGTATATCTATTGAAACATGCAACACCTCTGTAGATTTCGGAATTCTGTCCAACTGAGAGTCTAGAGAAAGTCTGTTGTAGATATTTGTGATTGTGTTATAATTGTGTGAGTATCTATAATCTGATAGTTGGGATTCCTGTTTTTTATATTAAGTATTAGTAAGTATATATACAAAGATGGAAGTGTTAGGGCTTTAAAGTCATGAAATGGTTTTGCAGCTAGTTGTTCTTGAAACTCCATCCATGCCTCTTATAACTTTTTTTGTACACAGAAGGCTCGCGCTAGACGAGCTGAGCAGCCCCAAAAAATTAGACTGTATGAGATAATTGATTCAGCCAAACCAAAATATGTTAATTTTATAACATCGGGATTTACAGTGTTTTTTGACTACACTACTTAGTATATTTGTTTAAATTATTTCTAAATGTTTTATAGTGAGTTTCTTTGTTAATAGTATAGTTTTTTGTAGATCTTTTTTAAGTTTATCCCTAGTTTTAATAGAATTAATTAAACCATTTGTTATCCATGGCTTTATTTTTTTATGGATTTTAATTTTAATATTTTGAGTGGTTTGACATGTTTCAATGATATTAAGATACGTGTCATAAAAAAAGTTGTGTTGGAATTTCTGAATTATTTTCATTGCAAACACTTTCCCAGTTTCGAATTTTTGTTTTAATTTATCAGTATCGATTTTAGTTATAGTTTTATATGTATTGTAGGAACTTGTGTAGTTTTTGGCAGATTGTGAGATATTTATCATAATAGGATCATGATCAGTCATATCATAGCTGATTACATAAGAGTTCACAGATAGATTTTCAGTCTTAATATTGTTTTTTAAGAATATATGAACCAAGCATGTTTTATTTTGTGGCCTTGTAATAGTGTTTATGTAAGACATGAAACCATGGGAGTAAAAAGTTGCTTGGTAATCAGTAGTTACTTGATTGGTTACATTTAGGAGATCAATATTAATGTCCCCTATGAATATTTCAATATTTCTATTTAGGTGATTTGGTATGAAATTTTCTAAATCCCTTATAAATGCTTGTGCAGAGGTTTGAGGAGACCTATATACACCTGTAATGCCAATGGTCCGATGATTGACTTTTAAATTTATTTTAGTGACACAAATATCAGAATATTCCAGTTTAACTATATTTAATTCTGCATTTAGATTTGACCTGATCAAAATTACAACACCATCATTTCTGTTAATGTTACCATTGTTATAGTGGGTGGTGAAGCCATCTAGATTAAATTGAGAAATAGATTCTAATTGGAAACATTCAGTCAAAACTATTGTATTACAATAATTAATTTTATAACTTTCTAGAAATACTAACAACTCATCAAAATTCTTTTTAATACTCCTAATATTAAAATGTAAGACATTTAGGAGTTTTTCATTTAAATTAATTTTATTTGTTATATTAGCAGCATCAACGACTTCATTAATCGAATCAATTTGAATAGAATTTAATAGATTATTTTCTTGATTAATAATCATGAACTATTTGAATGTGTGTACAAATATTAGTTACGTTATGTTATTGATCTGTATACTCGGTTTTATTTTGCAATACCATTTGATGATATTTCAAAGAGGGACAAGTCAAATCCAGTGCAGAATGGTTGTAGTCATACTCAGTTTAAATTTTTCGTTAGAAGTTTTACAGTTCTTACAGTGTATTTTATTATTTGGATACAAACTAGCTTCATGTTCTTTATTACAGATGTGGCACACGATTGCATTCTTACAGTTTTCTTTTTTATGGTAGAAACCTTGACATTTAAAACATCTGGGTCTCCAAATCTTCATAAACTGGAAGTCTTTCCCATCCTATACATATTTTTTTCCTTTGTATTAATTGTTTGAATGCAGTTCCTGAACATTCACAGTATACAGTATTGAAGCCTCTTTTCGTTTTTCTGATATATGTGGTTTTTATTTCACCTGTTATGTCATTCTGTTTCACAACGGACTTGTCAATTTTTTCCTTTGTCATATTCTCCATAAAATTGCAGATTTTTATTTTGGGTCTTCTCATTTTTGTCAGATCTACATCATATGAATCTTTTAATTTCTCTTGAACAGCTTTTTCCAGAATTTCAGCTTCTTTTTTTGTTTGACAGGAAAGTATAACGGAACCATTCTTTCCCATTGTTTCACTCCAACTTTTAAGTCAGTTAGGTTAATATTTGTTCCTAAATCTGTTTTTGTTTTGTTTCCACTCTGTGGTATTTTCGGTTCAATAATAATTTTTGGAGGGTTAGATTTTCGTTCATTGTCTTCTTTTTGTAACTTCACCATATCAGCATAAGAAATGGTAGGTACAATATTTATCTGTATTTCTTTAAATTCTTTAATTTTCTCTTGAAACATTTTTACTATTTATTATTTCATCTTTACTTTTTATTATTTCATCCTTATCTTCTTTAAAAAATCAGTCAGTTCGTAATTCCTACGTTTTGCACAATGAAATTTCAGAATTCTAGTGCGTACTGGTATACACCTAATTTCTGTGGTTGATAATTCAGAACATTGGTTGCAGTATAATCTTCTGCATCCATCACATGTAGAGCATGGATATTTTTGTTCTTTTGTAGGCTGATAAATATTCTCACAGTGTGAGCATTTCATTGCCATTTTTCTTATTAAATCATTTTCTTATTTTATAAACTAAATGTGGGTACGCCACTGGATATTCTATTTCTGTTAAAATAAACATTTTGGGATTTTAAAGAACTTTCATTTAAATAACATATTTCTTTTTGAAATGTCTACTGAATTTTATATGAACTATTCTATAGTGTTTTAAACTATAGGCGATTTTAAATCAGTTACTAGAAATGTGACCAAGTCAAGTGTGGTCAAGGTACTTACGTCATTATAATGACGGTTATTATCTGATTTAAAAATGTTTGGTTTATATTGACACTAACTTGACAATGCTCATGACATTGTCAGATATCGCCAATTTTTGTTTGTGTATTATGTATTGTAGTTAGGATTTGGTTTTGAATTTGTAAGGATAAACAAGTTATAAAAGTAATTTTAAAAAATCGACTTCAAAATCGTGCAGATCCAGCACCACATTTTGACCAAATTTATAGGGGACCACCTCTGAGTTACCCCTTTACTAACAAAAAAGAATCATAGAAATCGGACAAGGTTGTAAAGGTTTACCACTAAACATACATAAAAATATGAAGACTATGAGGATTTTCTAATGGACTCAATTATTAGATTTTAACGAAATTGATATGGGACCACCCCTGAAGTACCCCGTTACTAACAAAAAAAGAATCATTAAAATCGGACACCGTGTTAAAGAACTATCGCTGAACATACATAAAAAAAATATTACCTTCTCCTTTTTTTGAAGTCGGTTAATAAATATTTGTTTTGTGTACTGATTACGGATGAAGAGAAAATTTGTGTTGTAGTTGCTAATTGGTGTTGTAGTTTCTTTGGCCTCTGAAATTTTATCAAACCTTTTGCCATGTTCATCAATAAATCTTGGCTTGGCAAAAACCTTTAATTACGTCCATGTCTAGGTACTCAGCTAGGGTTGCCAGACGGCTCGCTTTAGGCTTAATTGTTGGTACGCGTTACGCCAAAGTACGAAAATGCCCCACATTTTAACTAAATGCTACGCATTTTAAATCCGAAGTTATGTATAAAGAAATTTTAGACATTTTTTTGAGAATCTCCTCAGAAAAAGGACCTGATAGTTTATAAAAATATATGCGAAGGACTTTTTTCAGATTTCCACAAAGAAAGGATCTTATTTTATAAAAATACCTGTTTTTTTAATCTGATCTTTGTTGTCATCGTTGTCCCACTTTTCCCTTTCGTATCTGACAACCCTGTACTCAGCCTTTCTTTCGATTTTACAAATAACACAACCAAACAATATAAGGTTTGTTCCAACACAATAGCAAATCGGTTTACGTACTGTCGGGATTCTGCGCAGTCTAGATTTGATGTTCCAACAAATCTCGGACTCAACTGTACAAAAACGTAGTGTTCCAACATACTCAAACCTAATCACAAACCAATTTCTGTACTGTCAAATCAGTTCCTGGGTCTGAATAGGAACGAATTGTCAAGACATGCGCAAAACGAAAGTGAGCTCGTAAATAAATCACGACCAACTCTAGAAATGTCGTGATTTTATTTTGATAGCATCATCGATCGTAATTTGCTTTTTATTCATTATCATTATTTATAGTATATTATTTTATGAGTGTAGGAAATAAAAAGAAGTATTATTCTAACTTAGATACAGTAAAAAATAAAATAAGTTAATGTACTAACCAATCGAATGATCAAAATTTATAAATCGTTTAATGAGTTTTAATTTTTTTTTTATTTACCAAATTCATAATTTAACATCTGTCAACAGAAACATGTGTTCCAACACAACCAAGTTCCGAATTAAGTCCCAATCATCGACAGGTCGTGGACTGGTCGTAGACTATCAGTCGTCGACAATAAGTTGTGGACTGGTTTGTGTATGGCTCCAAGATTGTTGTTGGAACAAACCTTTAATAATTAAAAAGTAAAAGTTTTACATTTGTCATTTCATTTGACATTTCATACCTGTGATGACCACGTTTTTATTGTAGTCATGTTAAGCTTGACCATTTCAAGACAATATTCAATATGACGTCATTGTTTTTGAATTATATCAGTGTAGAGTACGATTCAACTTAGAAAAGGCCACGGGCGTCATCGTCTGCCTCACTTTAAAATATTCCTTCTCCGCTGCTCCAGATCGATATACCAGTGGCGTAGGCTCTTAGTTAAATAAGAATTAAAGCAGTTTCCCAACAAAAAACATTTATTGGATTAAAAAGTTAAATTTTAATGATTTAAACATTTGTATATTACCTAAATAACTAAACTAAAATAACTTTACATATATTTTTCGACTTTAGACTTGCAAAATATTCAGTGGGAAGTAAATAAAAATAGCAACACAATTTTGTAATTTAAGATTTTTATTACAATTAAAATAATAGTTATTTATGCAACTAGTGCAAAAAGTGAAACTAGAGGAGTACATCCTAGTTCGTGCGTTAATGAACTATTATACTCTGTTTTTAAACTAAGAGGGGCGATTTGAATTTAAGTTGGCAATTCTGTAGCCTTCTGATTGGTTAGATTACAGTCAGTTTCACACATTACTTTTTAGCATGAACATCAGCTAATAATTGATATTGTTGACAGTTCTGACATTTTATAATTTGATATCTCATCCATTACTTAGTTTTTTACTTTATTTCGTAAATAATAGTTCTTCAGTAAGCAATTATATTGAAAATCTACAATTATGGATCCTTCTACACTGAGTACTATTAAAGGTAGCAATTCCTGAAAAGCCTTACAAGAAAGGGAAGACACCTTATTATTTTACATGCTGATTCTAAAGGTTTTGTAGAAAATGCATTATTGGTTTTTGAAGGTAAAAAGATGGGAGATTACCATGAAGAGATGAATTCCGAAGTATTTTAGAAAAAAAATAATTTTATTACTGATTTTTTAAAACTAAAAATTGATGAATTTCTAACCAAAATGATTAAAATGTAACTAAATATTCAACCAAATTTTATTTATTAGAATAGAATAAAACTATTTACAAAATTGTTATAACATTTAAAACACCATCTATTACTTTAGGGATAATCTTAATTTGGCACAATGAGTTAACATTACTTTCACAAAAAATATTTTAAAAATATTTAAAATTAATACATAGGTATGTATGAATAGTTTACTTTAAAAAATATATGTTGACATGTAGTGTTATGAAAATGTTGGTTCCAGTTTTCAAAACAAATTCTGACTCATAGGCCTGTAAACTTTTGAATGCCTTTATTTGTCCTCTAGCGCATTAACCATGGGTTAACACTAAATAAGCCATAATATCCACATTGCTCATAGAATAGATACCAGTTACTGTGTGATTCACTTGTCATTCACTGATTAACTTTTACTTTTTATACCTATAACAAATATATCCTTAAAAAAAGTATTTCTGACATCAATCAACAACCATATTGACTTTAATTTGACAGTGACGTTTCGTTTTAGACACATTTCAGATCACAATAATGTGAAATTTGCGACCGTTGTCTGGTACCAATTAAAAAATTACTTCTATGACATTTATTCGTTTCTTAACCGCTCATTGGCCGTTCACCGACTAAGGCCGATAAAGATAATTATTTCATAAATTTTGAACACGACTATATTTCGAAACTCGCTCTTAGTAACAAATCTAGTTACTTTTCCCTGTGTAAATGCATCTTTTCAATTCGCTCCTCCTAGTTTAAAAACAGAGTATAGTACTCTCGCTGTCTTCACTTTCTTCCGATGAACCCGTATTTTTGTTCGTAAGTAAAAGCTTGGCAACGCCGAAGTTCGGCTCACAATAATAAGGGATCCATATTTACGCGATAGCTTCTGTTCGAATTATATTCTGGACCATGCGACAGTCGTACAGCGTTGCCAAATTATTAAGCAATTGTATCTCTATATTAGAAAAACGAAAAAAATCCCCAAAACGCCACTGACGCTTAAATGGGATGGACCTGAGAGAGAGGCAAATTATTGCGGCCTTTGTCAAGTATGATTTGTGTGGCTTTTTCTTAGTTGAATCGTACTCTAGTCAATCATATTCAAGACATAGTAGCTGATTTAAAATCGCCTTTTGTTCTATGCAAACATTATCTCCTTTTTTTTAGGACTATGACATGTTTGATATGGCAAATGAGATTGATGAGATGGAAGTATTTCTTAAACTCGAACCAAACTCTTTAAATGAACAAATTTCTACTTTTGAAACAAAGCTTAAAAATGGTGACTTGTCGATCGATGAAAAAATTGATAAGGTCATCGGTACCAAAATAAATGATGAAGAAATTAAAAATGAACAAGACAAACTAGAGGAGGATGATAAAAAAGTAGAAAATGAAGAAGATAATAGTGTAGAAAAAAAAGACAACAATGAAGAAAGTGCAGAAAAAAGAGAAGACAAAGAGGACGGAAGTGCAGAAAAGGAAGAAGATACAATAGAAGGAAAGGAAGAAAAAGAGATAGGTGAAGATGTAGAAAACAAAGAAGTAGATAAAGAAAGTAAATCGGAAAAAAATGAAAACGAGGATGGAGACGCTGCTGGCGATAAAACAGATGAAAATGCTGAAGACATGAAAGATAATGATGAAAAAGAAGAATTGGAAAAAGAAGCATCTCCTGAAAAGTCTGAATAAATGTTTAGGTATATATCTAACGCACTGACCTAAGTATAAAAAAGTGAAACACCAAATATTAATATTTTCGAATGTTTTACTTGTTAACAAAGAAGCATTGCTACATTTTTAATATATTGCTCATTATTCATGCATGAAATTTGACACATTTATTTTTCTATTTTTTAATTCTAAAAATATTTTCACTTAGATTTTTCTTGATTGCTGATCTATGTTGAATCTGAAAAACTGAAACTTTAATTCTTATTTTCTCGAGTTGAAATTAGTTCTATCAGAATTACCTAGGTCTAATCGGTTGGGAGCTTAAAATAAGAACTAGTCTACAGTACGTTACTGGCGTTTTACTTGATTACCAAACATTTAAAATTTCACGAGTCTATTACACTTATCTGCAAAAATTCACGGAAACACTGCATGTTCTACTACGTGATGTTGATTTTACAATGTTGTGTAATACAATGACTACTTATCATTTGATAATAAACACGAAACAAGGCTTGACCGGCAATTAATCCAACGATTGATGAGTCCACCAGCTACATGTCAAAATATGGTGGTTTTCTAATCAAACAAAGCAGTGGTAGACGTACTGTGGACTAACCAATACTGCGAACGAGTTCAAAATGTTCAAATTTTCAAATAGTCACATTAATTCATTGATACAAAGCCTTTCTTGAACTCTCTAAAAAATAATGTAGGCTGTAGTATTTTAGAAATCTTGTCTAGATTTGCCACAACATCGGATTTGGTGCAAAAAATTGTGCAGACTACATTACATTAGTGATTAAGTCAGACTCATTCAAATTCACCGGAATGTATGCAACATACCAGGCTTGGAGAAGGGAACTCAATAAATTGAACCCTTTAAACTATTTAAGAAACTATCTACTAGGTTTTATTCTAAGTAATGTAAATTTTACTGCCACTTCATCATTGTTCTTGTGTAATTGTGTAAACTAAAAATAATATGTGTCAAATTCAGTTACTATGGAATTGCCTATTTTCAGAGGCCTTAAGTCTATTGTAAGTCTGATATATAGAATGTAAACTCAATTTAAATTAAGTAATAATTTTTTCATAATCGAACTAGATCAATAATCAGTATTAAAAATAGCGGTTACAATTTGAAACATCCTTAACATTTAAGTGGGCAATATCTTTTAAGTGCCCCCTTTGCTTTAAAATGGATTTTTATAGAATTTGTTTTAAATCTGTTCTACTGAGATACACAAGTTGTTTCTTGAAGACGAAAACCGTTATGTCAGCAAATTAGGTAGGGTAACATGGGGTTAACTGAACCATCTGATGGAAATATTTAAATTGATATTCCGGTATGAAAGCTTGGACCAAAATTTTATCTAGGGCATATAATTTGATCATATAACAATGGAAAAAAAATACAGCTGACACACAGTTTATTAAAAGAAGCCTATTTTTTTATTTTTTGCACTCCTGCAATATGGTTCAATTAACCCCATGTGCAGGTTAACTGAAACATATGGGTAGGTTAATTGAACATATGGGTAGTTTAATTGAACATATCTTTAAAATAATAATAATAATAAAATACTTGAAAAATATATAAGTAAGAGGTTTGAAAAAAATAATTAAACTTACATAAGGAAAAATGTATTGGCTAAAATATCAGAAAATTTTAAAAAACTGTGAAATTTAAATCACTGAAATCAATGGAAAATGATGTCATGTTTGCAAAGCGAGCGCTGCTACTTTTTATTGGAGGTTATAATTTCAAAACAACATCTTCTTTGGATACGAAACTCATTTCATTTTCATCTATAAATTTGTTGGTTGAGTTATAACGTTTCAGAAAAGTTACGTCGTAACCATTGAGCATTTGCTTACGAACTTTAGCAACATAATGTCGAAAGTTCATAGCAGTTTTTCCAAAAACTTTTACTATAATATAGTCTCCCTCTAAAACATCACTGGATATCTCATTGTAATCGTCAAAATCCTCTGGTGAATCTGAACTTTCGTAATAACTTATATTTTCTTCGCTGGCAGAGGAGCCAGATTCCAAAATACGTTTCGTTACTGCTTGTCTTTTGGTTTCATTTACTTTTTGTTGTTTATTTTTCTTATCTTCACGATTTTTTTTTAGCCTCTTCTTCTAGACTTTCTTTGATGTGAGTGTTGGTTAGAATCAAGGATTTTCCTATCTTACGCCTAGTTGCCATTTTTCTTGGAGCAGCTTTTGGAAAGGGACGAATTTGTTGAGGTGTTATTAGTTTAGAAGTTCCAGGACACTGTTCGTTTTGGTTTAAGTTTAATTTCTCGTTTGAAGGACCAAGTGTTGGTTCTATTGTCATTGGTGACGGTTTGGCAGGTATTTCTTCCGTTTGGGGTTGGGATAATTGACATTGTTCGGGGTTTGGTCTGTCTGTCACATACGATGATAAAAAAGCCTCTTCAGGAAAAATGTCGGCATTAAATGGTTCTATACCGGTGGCCCTGAATCCACTGCAAATATTTTTCGGAGTAAAAGACTGTAGGAAAGCTTCTCCTACGAGACCACCGACTTCATAATATATTGTAATCGTCTTTCCAGGATGATTTACCATCCACCTGTCATAAGCATTATTATAAAACTTTTTAAATGGACCGAAAACTGCAACGTCAAGAGGTTGAAGCTTGTGGCTGCAGTGTGGGGGCAAAGTTAGGAGAATTATGCCATTTTCTTTTGCGAAATTGAGTGCAGCAATACTCAAATGACTTTCGTGGTTATCAAGTAGGATCAACTTCGGGTGTTCTTTGGACGGTCTTTCATGCTGAGCAAAGTGCTGTAAAACAGATAGAAATAAACTGCTGTTCATCCATCCAGATGGAGTAGCGGCGCCTTTTGTCCCAGGTGGAGTTCCATGTAACATGTTATCCTTAAAATGGACACGAGGGAATATAAAGAACGGCGGTACGTAACGGCCTGTAGCGCCAATAATACCCACAATTGTAACCAATGTCTCTCGTTCAGTAGAAGTTATTTGGCCCACGCCTGTTGTGGCTAGTATTTTGGGCGGCTTGTGAACAGTAATTGCTCCGGTTTCATCCAAGTTATAGATGTCTTCGCTTTCGAAGTTAAATTTCGTTTTTACCTCTAGAAGGTTTTTGAAAAAAGCTTTAACATTTGTTTTGTTGAAGCTTGTTGCTCTACTCATGCTGGTCTGTTCTGGGGTTCTTAATGATAGTTTGTGTCTCTTCATAAAGGTAACCATCCATTCTCTTCCTGCCATACTTTCTCTGATCCAACTGTCTTTAACACTTTTGTTGTTAGCGTATTCGTATGCTAGAGTGCGAGTTTGTTTGCTTGATAAACCGTAGTGAATATTGCAAGCATGTTGAATATATTTCTTTAAAATAAGTTCTTCCTCTTGCGAAAAAACCATTAGATACTCATTGTTTGGTCGAAAGTTAATGGAATTTGTCTTTATCTCGAGCTTTATCGACGTATCTTTTCAAGGTAATTCTGGGTATATTTAGGGTCATGGCAACACTTCTCACCGAACTACCTTTTTCCAGAACTTCTTGGACTGCTTGCTTTACTAGTTCGGCAGAGTATGACCTGTTGTTGGTCGTGCGTGCCCTGATGCGTAGCATAATTCTGAAGCAATTGGTTCTGAAAAGAAAAACAAACAAAAAATTACGAAAATCGCTAATTTACAAATTGCAGGTTAACTGGACACCTGTTCATTTAACCTGTTGTGACTTGTGTCCAGATAACCTGTTGTATATGTAAAAAATATAAACAAATAATTTCGAAGCAGCATAAGGTTTAGCAATAGTTTTAATAATGGTAATTTGGGTGTATAACTGATTTCGGCATGTGGCACAAAATATCTGGGAGGTCGAAAATTTACATAGCCGCTACTAAAATTATTTTAGGTTATGATCGCTTTATTCGTAATATTTTAGAATTTATTAATAAACTTATAGTGACATCTGTTAGCAAGTCACTGAACTTCCAAAAGTAGAGGCCATTACCAACAATGACATGACAGATGTACGCAAGTGTTCAGTTAACCTACCTGTTCAGTTAACCTCATGTTACCCTATGTACTGGAGATTTCTGGTCTTGGTAAAAAAAAATCACGATAAAGGGTTGTTTTGTTTTCTTATTAACTTTGGTGTTTCTTTTTGCCAAAATATTATTTATTTATTTAGAGCCTAAAGTTGTTCCTTATTTTTGTTAAAAACATTTTCATTATTCATATTATTTATTGGTATTATCATAAACTACAAAAAAGATCCTAGATACAGGCTACGCTTTTTGATCAAAACATAAATTGTAATTTTATATATTGTTAAAAACTGTATTTTTGATTTTGTAAATATTTATTATATAAATCTTTTAAAGGACTATTTCATTAAAGTATAATTTTTCTTTGAAAGTTTGTTTTTTTTTTTTAATACTATCTACGATTTACTTAACAATGTCATTTTAATCTCCGTTTAACACAACGGTGGAATCGACTCTTAGTTACTAATTGTTTAGGCTTGTTATAACGAATTTCGTCGATCAGATAAATTAATTTTTGTACTGTTAATTTTTGCAATAAATTTGAAAATCACAGCATTTTTAAATAGAGAATGAAGAGACCGTTCAAATGAGGTATCGCAAGCAGTTACTTCCTATTTAAAAATTTGGGGATTGGAACTGTCACTTGAAGGGGGTTAAAGGTAAGGGTGAAATTTTCACGTTTCAGGAAGTCATTTTATAATCTAAAATTGATGTGTTTTGGGTTTTTTATAAATATGCACAGTAATTGAATCGGTCATTTGAGAAACCCCATAAGTCACAAATTTGACATATTCCAAAAATGGCAGATTCTTACTGCTAACACTTCGGTGCACATTTGGTGCAATATTTTGTCGACAAAATACCATATGAGTAGTACTTTTTGAAAATATGCTTCCCTGACGTCATACATATTGTGAATCACCCTGTAATAAAAATAGTTTTAATTGTACGTATGTAATAATATATT